TTCAAATTATTGAATGAATATATGATAGAATTATGACTTAAAAACAAATACAAATTGTCTTTAATATGACAATCAATAGAGAGAGAGATTGTTTGAGTCAATGATTATCCTAGATAAACTTTACTACATTGTGCATTCTGTAACTAAAATATTATGTATTGCAAATTTATTTTAAATTTATAACTATTATTTTTAAAACATCAGTTGATTATTTGATTTAATAATTTGCGAAAACAATTAATTATTACATATTTTTAAAGTGGCTTTATTTGAAATATTTTTAAAAATTAATGATAAGCAAATAATCTAAAAATAAATATTTAAATCTTATAAATAATATAAAACATTAATTTAAAACTTTGTTGTCATTAAACATGTACTCATATGGGATTAAAACAATTCAATTGCTATTTATGTTTTGTAAATATTTTGCTGACAAAACATTTAGTGAATAAATTATTGCATATTTAAAACCTATCATTCAATTTAAAAATTTTAAATACAAGTATTAATAAATCATATAGACTTTGCATGAAAAATCCACACATATATCAGTTAGTACACAAAATATCATAAATAAATCAATGATTAGATTAGAAGTTATTGAGGTTTAATAACTTTGAAAATATTTATCATAAATTAATAGACGAAATATTAAAATGAAAATAACAATAATAAAGCAGTTATTGATCCACCTTTGTCAATGATTTAGTAATTAAAAATAGGATGATTTTACAAATATCATGTTTTATATACTAATAATAATATAATAATACTGATAATTATGACATTGAATTTAATGTATTGATATGTAATCAAAAATTTCCTTTCAGCGCTACCATTGGCATTTTGGGAAATAAAATTGCTATAAATTTTCTAAAATAATTGCCAATTAGTTCAATATTTTATTTAAAATATTGTATTTCAATATAAAACAGTAAATATGTTTTTGATGGCATTAATTGTGGGCTTTATTGTATTGATTGTATGGTATGTTTACCAAAAACTCACGTTTTGGAGTCGACTGGGATTACCAAATGACCTCTCGTCTAGAAGTGCACAACCCTTTCATTTGTCTGATTTTCAAAGTCATAGGAAATACGGCAAAACTGTTGGGTATTTAAACTCATCACACGGTGTAAGTTATATGATGTATAAAATAATAATTACATGTCTGTGAAACAGATTTTACGAAGGCTTGAAACCATGTCTGTCCACAATAGACCCGGAGTTAATTCGCGCCGTTTTGGTGACCGACTTTCACAAGTTTGCAAACCGTCGGGTAATACAGACATCAAATTCAAATAAACCAATATTTAATTAATAAAATGTACATTAATTTTGACCCAAGAATGCGACCACACATAAGGATCTTTTAAACAGTTCCCTATTCTTTACCAAATATCCCAATTGGAAGCGAATCCGAGCCATACTTTCGCCGTCGTTCACAACCGGGAAACTCAAGAGTTTTAAGCCATCGTTTGGCCAATCGTTAGATGTTTTGATCGCAAAACTAAAGTCAGAGATAAAGTCAAACAACACAATAGACTTGCGGCCCATATATGACTCGTTTGCGTTTGAAGTGATATCAAAGTCGGCGTTTGGTCTCAACACCGATATCATCAATAATGCCAAACACCCGGTCTTCGAGGCGGCCAAGAGTTTCTTTCAGACGGGTTTCACTGTCAAGACTTTCCTATTGTTTCTGTTCCCACAATTAGCCCATTATCTGGACATTCATTTCTTCAACGAAGAGAGTCAGCAAATAATCGCCAATTTTATCAAACAAGTGATTAACGAGAGAATTGCCAACAATTTTGAAGTCAAAGATCTTTTGCAATTGTCTATAAATGCCAGCGTTTTCTCTCCCAAAGTTACAACGAATTCATTTGAAAGTAAATAGTTTTAAAAACTAATATTTGAAGTAATAGTCATATAATAGTTATATTAATTTGAATAGAATTGAGCGAGGAAGAACTTCTAGCACAAAGTATCAATTTTATGGCCGCCGGTTACGACACGACAGCCACACAAATATCATTTATAACTCAATTTTTAGCACTAAATCCCAACTTTCAGACAAAACTCGTGAATGAAATAAACAGTTATTTCGGCGATCAGTCAGAAGTCGACTACGAGTCAGTCATGAAAATGCCTTATTTGGACGCTTTCTTCAAAGAAATCATGAGATTTAACTGTTCGGTCAACAGGTAATCAAAATAATGTATATTTATTTAAAACACAATTAACTAGAATTTGAATATAATTATCCAGAATAGACAGAATTGCCGAAAATGATTGTGTGCTAAATGGCATATCTATACCGAAGGGCACATCCATTATAATCCCCGTTTGGGCCCTACATCTGGACGCCGACCACTACGACGAGCCCAATGTCTTCAAACCGGAAAGATTTTTGCCTCAAAACGAGTCCCGAATTAAAGGCTATACTTATCTTCCGTTCGCTTCGGGGCCCAGAAATTGCATCGGAAGAAAGTTTGCCGAAATGGAGATCAAATACTTTATGGTTAAAATTTTACCACTCTTTGAGTTCAAAGCGTGCGANAATTTAACAATTAATGTAAACTTTTCAAATTATTGAATGAATATATGATAGAATTATGACTTAAAAACAAATACAAATTGTCTTTAATATGACAATCAATAGAGAGTGAATGCAAATGAGATATTATGTATAATTCACGCAATTGATACTGAAATGGCCTGAATTACCTCAACTATAGCTCTCTCTCTCTCTCTCTCTCTCTCTCTCTCTCTCCTTAATGTTTGTGCCCGTATTTTAGAGCCGACGGCAAAACGCGAACTTGAATTCAGTGATGGATTTGTGTTATGAGTTCAGCAAATAATTTCACTTTTATTTTCTAAACCCAATAAAATTCATGCATTTTATTACAAATAAGTAGTTTATATAACATTTAAAATCATTTTTCATTTTGCGTACAATCGTTAAGATTAATGATATTTTTTAATACAAGAATATCAATGAATTTCAATTTTTAATAATCTTAATAAATATTGCATTTTATTCGTGACTTTGATTTCCGCGCTTCAAAATATGTAATGAATTCAAAATAATGCATACATTTTTGAATTACTTTTATATTTTATTATCATTTGTATATAAAAACAAATTTATTTTAATTTTCAATTTGAGAGAGAGAGAGAGAGAGAGAGAGAGAGAGAGAGAGAGCTATAGTTGAGGTAATTCAGGCCATTTCAGTATCAATTGCGTGAATTATACATAATATCTCATTTGCATTCACTCTCTATTGATTGTCATATTAAAGACAATTTGTATTTGTTTTTAAGTCATAATTCTATCATATATTCATTCAATAATTTGAAAAGTTTACATTAATTGTTAAATTAATAATATTTCATTCAAAACATTTTAAAATATATTTTAATCATAATTGAAATTTTTCTTTCTATTCATAATAAATGTACAATTAATTTAAATACTGATTAAACAATACTTATCTAATATATTATAAAATTGATAATAAGTGTATGAATGCCTTGAAGACAGAAACAACAAATTGTGTTAATCTTTATTTCAGGTTTAAAGCCCTCATTGAATATCTCATAGCACGCGAAGTAAACTGTGTTTTAACCGCTCAGACGGTTGGTGTGTATGCGAGGGGACAGTCACTGCAAATTCATCTGACCTTAAAAAACAACATTTTATGTTATATTATATTGAATTCGTTTTAATAACATATAGAAAGTGAAGAAAAATATATACAGAGTTTGTATTTCAGAAAACGAGTTTAGAGTTCAATTAGAAACACAGGAAATCTCACACTTTTTTCGCCTAAGTTTTTGTGTCCAATTTGTTCAACATATCGTCTCTCTCTCTCTCTCTCTCTCTCAGAGCACAAATCCCATTATACCCCGACTTATTGAACTTTTATCTATGAATTTAATTATTAGATAACTTTCCATATATTAGTCTAATAAACAATAATCTCTATTAAAAAACAAGTAAAAACAGTTAATCCAATTTTGACTTCAACGGCACCTCCCCTTTAAACTTAACATACAATGTATTAATCAATTCATATATCTATTCAAATAGTTAAACAATGTTTAATATTATCTAAATTTTTAAAATGAGATAAATGTAGAATTATAAATAATTGTAAAAATGTAAGTGTTTTTTGTTCACAAATATAATTCAATATTAACTCACATGATATGATCAATGATTATATAAATGTATGTTTTTTTCAGACCAATGAGTGTCTTATCGACCGAACAATTATATATTTTTGGGTTAATTTGTCATCAATTAGTGTTTTGATTGTGTTTTGACTTTCTTTGCGACGAAATGGCAAAACATAGGAAATATATTATTTGTGTTGTTTATTGTCGAGAAAAATAGTTTTTTCAAATGAGATATAACTGTGAAACCAATTTAAGCGGAACTTTAAAAGTGGTGATCGATTCGAGTGAAGATAATTGCAGTAAACCTGATATTGAAAAACGTTAACATAATTAGTGTTTGTATTCATAATAATTACATTACGACTACTGAAACAGTTATTGGACTACAAATAATTGTCTTAAACATGTCATAAAAGGACATCGATTTTAAACAATTAGACACCCGTTTAGTACACTATTATTGATGTTATCTATTGTATAACAAATATCGATTGATATAATGATATTTTATATATTGTATGCATTTTTATGCATATCTCTAAACAAATTGACAATAAATCAAATGTTGCTTTAAATTAATTGTTAAGCATATCTAACATAAAACAAATTTATTACAAATTTAATAAATAGAAAAAATAAAATAAAATTTGGCAAAAAAGGATTTCCCAAATGTGTACTGTCTTAGCCTTAAGGCCTGTTTGTGACCGCATGTCAGCCCTTAAAACAGTTATTCTGTATTAATAATCAAAGCATTTGAATACGAAATCTGTTGAATAAATCAGAGATTATGAATATATGAATCGGAAATTTTTAAAATTTTATACTTTTGCACAATTTGTTATTTAAATTATTTGTATTATTTAGATAAACAGTAATAAATATTTATCAGTAAACGGTAAGTGGTAAACTCATATAAATTATAGTGCACTATACACATAATGCATATAATATATTCGTTAAATGTATAATTATGTATAAAATTAAGCGATTTACTGACAAATGTGATTGTATTTTACAAATTACAAAATTAAGTGCAGTTAAATTTAAGGCTAACACAGGTATATCAGATTATTAATAAGATTAAATAAACAATTGTACATAGTAGTTGCTTTAAGTAATAATTAATGCAACTAGATAAATTAGTAAAACGTACCTTGATTATCCCTGTGACCCATCAATCTACGTGACCAATCAGCTCGTTATAATTAAAATTTGAAGTTTTAAATAATAAAAATTCAAATATGGTTTGATTTGCGATAATATTTGATATATTGGATAACAAGGAAAGTGTAGAAAATTATTTAATATAAATTAATGAATAATTTAATACATATTGGAATCAATCAAACGAAAAGTCGGAAATGAACACTAAATTCAACACAAATTTTATGAATAGAGAAATGAATTGTGAATTTTTGTTGTGATATTTTTTATTTTCTAATATTCTTTGCATTATTTGAATAATAAACTTAACATTTAACACATTTTTTGTCGGTATTACCAGTTTTAATAGTTTTATTTATTTTGTTATTTATCTAATTATTTATCATGTTTTCAGATTACCGTAATAATTTATAATTGTGTTTACTTTTATTTCCAATTAATTAATGTTATTTATTGTAAAATTAAATATAAACGGCGGTTTAGTAATTGTGGCGCTAATTATAGAAATTTTAACCGTTTTTATATTTAAAATTACTATTTAATAAGCAATTGTGAAATATTAGCAGATATTTAGTGATGTCTTATATGATGTCTTATCGGATGTATGTTTAATACGGAGGTATAAGTTATTGAGTAAACATCGCTAAACATTATACAAATAATTTATGTTTTTTGGGTTTTTCACATCTCATAAGAGCTGTTATTCCCATTAGAATTGTGCCGAATATTAGGTTAAGACAAAATTCTGGGCCTTTGTTTTGAATAAAATATCAATAATACGTTACCATCACTAACACTGGTGGTGGGAGAGGGAGGGCTTGGGTGGAGAGAGAGAGAGAGAGAGAGAGAGAGAGATGGGGAGAGAGGGAGAAAGTGAAAGCAAATCTGAATCTCCCTTTTTGTTATGAACTAGATTAACATCGAAACTAATGGGCACAGCATTTGCTATTCACTATCACAGCCCTATCGCACAGTTTTCGAGCCCTCCAGACATTAATTTGTAAGTTAAGTCAAACTCTAGGCATTAGGTATTGGGAATACAGTTATGATAAGTCATTATTCAATAGCGATTATATATACAGTTATACATTAAAAAATTTACTTTTACTTTCTTTTGCCGTTGATTTTCAATTTATACACAAAAATATAAGTATTTTTCGGGAGAATATTTATTTATAACTATCAAAGAGATTAGTTTTGATTCTCGTTAAGAAATATTTATATTTTTCTCTCTCACTCTCTATTTATACTTTCAATTTCAATGTTAATGTCATTGAATATGGATTTAACAATAAAGTTGTAAAAAATACAAATTGCTTATTAATTCACAATCGGAATTGTGTACCCGTTTATACACAATACACATCACTAGGAAAATATATGCTCACAAATAATCATGGTAATTTTAACAATAACAATAAACTTACTCATTGATAGCTTTTAAACATTCAATTGTATCGCCGTTTGGATTGAAAAACTCATTTAAAGTATTTCTAATTTCAGTGAATTTAATCATTTTTAACAACAGAAAAACGATTCGTAGAAATTCGGCACAATATTAATGTAAGTAAATATTATCTCATTTATTATTTATTAAATATATAATTAAAAGTCAACAAATAATAATATTTATTAATAATTATGTATTAAAACGAAAAATCGCACATAAAATAGAAATCATTGAATGCAATGATAAATATATCACGAGTTTATATGAATGTAACAAAAGTAAGACTTTTTAGCAAAATATTCAAAGAAACCGAAAGAAACTTTTGCTTAACAGTATTTCTATACAGCTTTCTATACAATTATTATTAATAATGACATGACTTAACGGCCAACTTTCAAAAGTCAACAAATGTTTTGCCGAAAAAATAAGTAAAAAATCTGAATAAAAAAATAAAATTGAAAGAAAAAGTTTTGTAAAAATAAGAAAAGTCAGCGAAAAAGAAATTTACAGACGAATGGGTGTCACAAACCACTGAAAGGACGATATAATAAAATTGTTATATAATATGACTTTTGCAGTGGAAAAAAGTACAGAAAATGTTCAATCGTTTCCGTGTTTACAGAGAGATAGAGAAGGAAAATACGGACAAAAATATAGATATATATTAAATAAATGAGAGAAAATTAAGAATACATTTTCCATTCTCTCTCTCTCTCTCTCTCTCTCTCTCTCTCTCCTGAGCTCTTTCCACACCACTATCTCTTCTCAGCGGAAAATCTTGAATAAAATATATGTGACCAACAAATACGTGGTGAATAGGCTATTAAATATGACGTCCCATACAATCGGCGTTTCACTTAATGCCAGTCAATCCAAGAGACAGTTATTATCTGCCATTCATTTTTTGCAGACCTCACCTGAGAGTTGAGCCCTCACTCTCTATCTCTCCATTAGATTCATATAATATTTAAATCACCATTTGTTGACCGCATACAAGTCATAGAAGTTTTATGTTTTTAAAATTTAAAATTTCTATTTGTATTTTATTTATAAATATTTTTTCAATTTTACTTTGAGGTAAGAAATAAGTTCTCTTTCAAAAAAGAGTTGCTTATTATTTGTTAACTAATCTTAACAATTGTTTGCAACACTTTTTTGGGCAATTGTTATGCTTTACTGAATTTTAACAAACTTTTTTTTTGTTTCTCTCCCAACACTAATGCAATTGTTATACACTATATGTTTGTGTTATTAATTGACAATTTTCTTTCCCAAACTAATGATTTGTTTGTTTGATTAACTTTTGTGTCAAATTCAGTGACACTTTTGGTTTTTCTTATTCCGCGTTTAATGTGAATATATTTCAATGTTTTTTCTACACATAAATATATTTATACACATATTATATATATATATTAAAACTTAATCATGCTAATATTTTTAAACTAAACCAAATGATAGGGTTATGGCTCCCAATACTATAACCAAAGAATGCATCAAAAGTGCACCGGAAATACCGAAAACGAGTCCATTGGAGACCCCATACAAAGCCGATTACGTTTGGCGCAATATCATCTTGATGGCTTTGCTCCATATCGCAGCCGTCTATGGCATCAATATTGCCATATTTAAAGCCAAATGGACAACCATTGTCTTCGTCCACATTATTGCCATATTATCCTCAATGGGTGTTCAGGTCTGACCAATAATTCATACAAAAAATTCCGGTGTCTTATGTCTTATATATGTGTTTGTATTGTCTCTGTTATCCCAAAATCCATTCATATTTGTCTTGAATTAACGTTTATCTCAATAAAAAAATCATTAATTTTATTACAAACGACTGGTGCGGACAGTCGGGTGCGCACCGGCTTTGGTCACACCGGGCCTACAAAGCGAAACTACCGCTCCGTATAATACTAGCCTTCTTTCACGTAATGGCCTTTCAAAACGACATATACGAGTGGTGTCGCGACCATCGCGTCCATCACAAGTACACGGAGACCAACGCCGACCCACACAACGCCAAACGTGGTTTCTTCTTCTCGCACGTCGGCTGGCTTTTGGTCAAAAAGCATCCGGACATCAGAGCCAGAGGTAAAAACGTGGATCTCAGCGATTTGATGGCCGATCCGGTGGTCAGATTTCAGCGCAAATATTATATACCATTACTTTTGCTGATCTGGGGTTTCATTCCCACTGCCATTCCTCATGTGTTTTGGTCGGAGAGTTTGTGGAATGCATTTTTCACTTGTGTCATGTTTAGGCACTGTTTGACCCTCAATTTGACCTGGCTCGTTAATAGTGCCGCACACATGTGGGGCGGCCGGCCCTACGACCAGAATATCGAGGCCCGAGAGGCCACCGTTCGGCACCTGCTTATGGGCGAAGGCTTTCACAACTATCATCACACGTAAGACATTTGAATAATTATTTGCAAATTGTTTGTAAAGTTGTTTTTAAACAAAAAAGTTGTAACAATTGAAAGCACACACATGTGATGCAAAAAGCAAAATAACTATAAACAGTATAACGATTGATATCAGGTTCCCGTGGGACTACTCGGCCAGTGAGTTGGGCGCGTTTGATGTGTTCAATCCGGCGACGGCTTTCATCGACTTCTTCGCTTTGATCGGTTGGGCTTACGATCGCAAAGTCGTGTCCCGAGAGATGATTGAACGCAAACAACAGCGAAGCGCCAAACTCGAGGACATCCGCGAAGTTCGCGGTCTCTTCCACTCACTATACGAATGGGTCGGCGGTATTGCCGTCTTCTGCATACCATTAATGATTGTTCACATTTTTAAACTCAATTATTCATAACTATATTATTTAATTTTTCATTTAACACATTATATTGAGTTGTTTTTTAATTTTTGAATTTATTGTTCAATTTTACTGCATTTATAAATCATTTTTTGCAACCAATTTGTTAGTTATGTTTGGAATTATAAAACTATTGTTATATTGAATGATAAATAATATAATATCTTTAAATGTCTTGTTCTGTGCCTTACGTTATGAGGATATCATAATTTGTTTTCAATTATTTTCACTGTTTTATGTAATTATTTATTAAATTAAAATTTCTATATTTAACTCAATTAATACGTGAAAATGTATTTCACAATTCAAATGATATGATAGTAGTGTCAAAATACTTAATATATCAATAGATTTATCAATTTAATACTTTACTTAAAGTACTATTACTTAATAGTAAGTGATTTCAAATGTTTTTGTAAGTAATAATAATGATTTGAATTGACATAAAAACTTCATTTTTCATAACTGACTAAATATTTTGAATACACTTTCAATTGTCAAATTATAAACATAATATATTAACATAGTTTTGACATGAATTCAAATTAAATAGCGTTTAAACAAAAAATACAATTTTATTTTATGCTCAAAATCACATGTTTTAATAACAATCGTATTATAGCTTAGGTTTACATTGCATTAAAAGACTACAAAATGTACATTTAAAAAATAAATTAAACAAAAAATTATATTCAAATAATACTGTATTTGTTTCAAAGCTTATATTCATAAAACATTTAATTAAATAATAGATTAACTTACAAAACAAATATTTAAATAATTTTGATGATTGTCTCAAACAATATTTATTTTTCATTTCATTAAATGTTTAATAAATTAATTCTTCGCAAAGAATGCAAAGAAAACAATCGGGGTTAAATTCTGGGTTTAGTTTATGAAACAAATCAAATGATATATAATAATGAGGTGTTGTTTTAGCATTACATTGAAAATCGTTTTAAAAATACATTTCATATTCAAATATATTTTGTACAAATCATTAGAAAAATGTGTGACTTTTGACTAAGCATTTGATTAATGTATTAAATAATCATTCGTTGAAATCGTCATCATTTTGGTATTTAAACGACTTTTTCACAGCAATTGTCAATAATGTTATATAACTTTCTTAGAGTTTTCTCAGTTTATATACAATTAATAAATTATTAATTTAAAAATACACTTAAGATTTCATTTAAATAATGAATTCGTGAATACAAGAGAAGGACACCAATGATATTGAGTGCAAAAATATATAATAACTTTTCGCAACAAAAAGTCAATCAAAAAATAAAGATAACATAAAATATGAAATCATTTCAACAGAAAATTGTGTCAATAATAATAAGACAAGCGTTGGTCACAACAAACTGATGGTCAGGTGTCTAACTCCTGAGCGCTTGTAATCGTTGTTGCATTTCACTGATGTCTTCGTCTTCGTCGACAGCCGATGCGGAAGCGGGCGCTGCGGACGCCTCGCCCACCGACGGCAATGTGTCGGACACGGCTGCGGGCGCGGCACCCAATTGGCCAGCGGTCAGCTCCCATAGCACTTTGTCCACCTCTTTCTGGGCCTCCTCTTCGAGGGTGTCGTCGACGTCCAACTGGTCGTCGAGTGTCTCCTCAATCATCTCCTCAATGATTCCCGCTTTCATCATCTCTCGTGACATCTCTTGCATCACATGTGAGATCTCCTGAATCTTCACCAGAGACTGCATGGACTTCATAACCGACGTTGACTTCTCCATAGCGTTGGCCACCCGTAGTGTCGCTAATTGTTGAGACATATTCATCATCACTGAGTTTAGCTGCGCTTTCGACGTATGGATCCGATTCACCTGTGAATCACATCCGCACCACAATCGCCACAATAAGAGATAAAACATTTCATTAGTTTATATTACGTTTAAATTCACTAATTATTTAAATTCGCAATCAATTCATTGGATAAATATTTATATAGAAACACAGAAATTGAAAACTAATAACTCGTAAAATAAGATCACATTTTTGTGAATCAATCTTTAGTACTAAAAACTCAAATCAATTGATCACAGAATCAGATCCAAACAATGATTACGAGTAAACATTGAGTGAAACTCTTTGTGTACCGCTTTGCGCGAATTGACCATCTCTTTGGCCAACACGAGACACACGTCGCGATCGCCCCGTTTGGCCGCTTTCTTCAGCTCGAGCTTAACCTTCTCCTCCTCTCTCTGAATGCCGCGTATCTGACGGTCCAATAGGA